AAAAAAAAAAGAAGGATTAATAACGGAAACATACTGAGTAACAAGAAGTAGATCTATAGCTGAAGGATCAATTTCGTCAAAGTAGGGCAATGCGGCCATGCCAGAGAATGCTGGATGAATACCACAATCAAACTAAACAAGCAAACAAACAAACAAACAAAAGATTCAGTTCATAATTCGAGAACCCAAATTGCATTGAGAGTCGCCTAAATGAAGAGAAATTCCAGCAGCGAAGCGAAGCATACCAACAGAGTTTTCCCCTTATAGGACATGTAAACACAGGAGCGGCCCACTTCATTTCCCGCCCCTAGAGGCGTTATAATAAGCTCGTCGCCTTCACTTGTAGTCGAACAAGTTCTCTTTAAAGAAGCAGAAGAAGCTGGTTTTCCGGCTGAAGCCATTGATTGCTGTCCAATGCCAAATTAATTTTACCTAATTTAATACCAACCTGCTCAATCGAGATCGAGAGAGAGAGAGAGAGAGAGCTAAGGAATCATCATAATGAAGAAACCCTAGTCGATTGCGAGGGAAAAAGTTTAGCAGAGTTACCAGCACGGCGGCGGAGTAGCTCCTCCGTCAGCTCGAGATTTTGCTTTCACTTCACAAGTCGCAAAGAGCGAGTGCCATAGTTATAAAAATAAACAAATAAATACAAATTGAAAGAAAATAAATAAAATAAAATAAAATAAAATAAGGAAAAAAAATTAGCGACCACAGTGGGAGTCGAACCCACGACCTTCTGATCCGAAGTCAGACGCGCTAATCCACTGCGCTATGCGGTCCTTGTTGTACGCTGATTTAAATCGACGACTAAATATCAGATTACCAAAATCCAAAAATTATAGCAATAATAATTTCAGTGTACTCAACTATGATAAATGAGTGTTGGTGCTTCAAAATCGATCTGAAGTTATGATACTACGTAACAAAGATGAGGACAAACATGATGTTTGGGATCTTTAATTTAGTTATTTATTTTTTTTATTTATTGTTAATTGTTTTTATCCCTAGATTTGCAAGTAAAATTATTTAATTATTCAAGTTTTTTATTTGGTAGGAAAAATATTTAATTATATTTTACTTGTTAGACAAGATTAGGACTTTTTAGAAGTTTTATTTAAAGACTTCTATTATATTGTATTTCAGTTGGTGAAGTTTATGTATTAAAAAATATTGTCTTGAAATTTTATGTCTTTTTTTTTACGTTTTTGCTACGTCAGTTGGTATCGGAGCTACTATTTTGAATGTTAATAACCTTATAGAGCTACCACAAACTCAAGTATCGTGCCATTTGAATGGTTGGCTTGTTCCCAGTCTGAAAGACCAATGCAGATTGGACCTAGCTTTGAGTCGTGAGTCAATCCACCAGAACGGGTCTAGTTTGTGGTTCATTCACATTTGAAAAATAAAAGATTCTAATTGCTAAACAGACATAGTCTGTTTTTTGGAAAAAAAA